GGACTTTTTTTTCCCTTTCTGTGCCAGTACTGGGGCTTGAACTCAGTGCCTGGATGTTATCTCTTAGCTTTCTCACTCAAGGCTGGCATTCTACCACTTGAGCCAAAGCTTTACTTCTGGCTTTTTTGGTGTTTAATCGGGGATAAGAATCTCAGACTTTTCTGTCCCAATTGGCTTGGAACTGCAATCCTCAGATCTCAGCCTGAGTAGCTAGGATTACAGGTATGAGCCATCAGCATCTGATATATCTTAAGGACATTTTAAATGGACTCTGTCAAACTATTATGCCCCAAGCAAGCATGTCCAGCCTCATGAGCTGGCTTCTTCCTTGCCACTTTCATTCTCTCTCTATTTCATGGCCATCGTTCTTGTTAGCCGCATTCAAAACTCCAAATGGTCTCTGCATCATCCCGTGTCATCTAAACATCCCATCTGTCTGGTCCTGTGGCTGGGTTCGACCTGGTTTCCCAAGAGAGGCGCTCATGTAGCTGGTTCTCTTCAAACACTGTGTGCACTATATACAGCACACATTCTCCCATATGACTGTTCACTGTCAAACGTTCCCTCCTGCTTGTCTGCACACTACACGATCCACCAGGCCCTGGATCAAAGCAGGCTGCCCAGACCCTCGAGGACACCCAAGGTTGATGGTGAGTGGCTAGATCCTCCTAATGCGTTTGAACAGCTGAGTAAACAGTCCTTTGCTTTCACCAAACAAACAAAAAACAAACAAAAAAACCCACAAAAAACCATTCTTCTACCTTTTAGAACCCACCAAACCAGTTTCCTTGTTTTTGAAGGGATAGCTATGTTGGCCTTTGCTAGCATAAAACAGGCCTTGCACATCTGCTCAGGTGTATTTACACGAGGCAACTGACATTTGGAAAGGGGCAGGTGTGTTTACCAAACCAGGGTGAGGCCTAATCGTTCCAGAAACCTTCTTGATACTTGTGTCCTAGGATTTCCCATAATTGTTAAAACCACATTCGAGCACATCCGAGCACATTCCAGCACATTCCAGTAGGACTGCAGGGAGAAATCAGGTGCCCGCTTCATCTGTGTACCATATTTGGGAAACTTTTGGTACAGGGCAAATTTTAGATTTACTTCTGTTAGCAAGAATAATTGAAAATAGTATCATTGGATAAAAATCTGGAGTTTGGTTAACAGCAGAGTCCAATGTTGCTTTTCTCATTTTGACCCAAAACTGGAGAGATAAAATTCTAGAGAAAAAGGTGGTAACGAGTATATAAAAGTCTATCTACCATCCTGGAAACTTTTGTCAAAATCAAAAGTTATCTCAAAAGTTTATTTTTTAAAGTAGTCTGTTTCCCCCTTTTTAATGCGGGGCACGGTACAAGCCCTTCAGGAACACTATCTCGTTCAGTGAGAGAGCCGCGCTGTGACGTAGACTTGAGTCCACAGATCAGGAGATGAGACACATCCACTGACAGCAAAATAAACATTGGAGGAGGTAGCTGAACTCCGATTCTCTGCCTCTCTGCACGTGCGTGCGTGTGTGCGTGCATGTGTGCGTGCGTGCGTGCGTGCGTGTGTGTGTGTGTGTGTGTGTGTGTGTGTGTGTGTGTGGTGCTGGGGATTAAACTCAGGACCTCGTGAATGACAGGCTAGGTAAATGTTCTGCTATTGAGCAACCTGATTAAGGTCTGAACCATTCCAACTCCTGAGAGCCAGCCTTTGTTTCCCATGCTGTAACAATACAAACAAGAGAACAGCTCGGCACCAGAGGCTCATGCCTATAATCCTTGTTACTCAGGAGGCTGAGATCCCTTGATCCTTTAACAAGGAATTTTGGAGTACTACTATCCCAATTCAAACCATAGCATTCATTCATTATCCTATCTATTCCTTCAAGCTTGGGGAATAAAGAAGATTTTGCTAGCCAGTATGAGATATGCCAACTAAAGAATTCTAGAATCTGAGATTTGCAAGGGGTACTTGTACTTATTTATTTTTGATTATGGGGCTTGAACCCTGGGCCTGGGTGCTATCCCTCAGCTCTTCAGCTCAAGGCTAGCGCTCTACCACTTGAGCCACAGCGCTACTTCTGGTTTTCTGATGTTTTTTTTTTTGGGGGGGGTCCGGTCGTGGGGCCTGAGCTCTGGGCCTGGGCGCTGTCCCTCAGCTCTTCAGCTCAAGGTTAGCGCTCTACCACTTGAGCCATAGCGCCACTTCCGTTTTTTTTTCTTTTTATATTATGTGGTGCTGAGGAATCAAACCCAGGGCCTCATGCATGCAAGGTAAGCGCTCTACCACTGAGCCACCTTCCCAGCCCCTTCTGATGGTTTTTATTGGAGAGTCTCACAGACTTTCCTGCCTGGGCTGGCTTTGAACTGCGATGCTCAGATCTCAGCGTCCTGAGTAGCTAGGATGACAGGTGTGAGCCCCCAGCACGCGGCCTACTTGTATTTTAAAACTACAGATTTCTGTCTCAACACCCAAGTTCTGACTAAGGAGGCTGAATAGGGCCAACAGTCTGCATTTTGAGGTTCTCTCTCCCTCAAAGTGCCCCTCATTCTCTTCCAGGTAGGGAGTTTCACACCCTAGACAAAAACCTTCTGGAAATAGGCAGTGGCCCTTTGCTGCACAACCCCCAGCGTGGCCTCTTTGTGGAAGCTACCCTAAGGTGTGAGCATGATGAGACAGCATGGCGTCGCTCCTGTCTCCGTTCTCCAACTGTTATACCCGCTGACAGGGCTACAAAGATGCCAGCACGAGCAGCTCTGGGCTTCTAGAAGAGTGGTCTCAGACCGTGCTGAGCTATATCTGATGGCCAGAGACAAAGTGTGAGACTTTCTCTCCCTAGAGGTGTTTGGGAGATGCCTTTCACCTTTTTATCACGCAAGATGGCAACCCACAAAATGTTGCTGGTAAAGTGTGGGAAGTTAAAGTTAGATTTTTCATACTTTTTTTTTTTTGGTCAGTCATGGGGCTTGAACTCTGGGCCTGGGCGCTGTCCCTCAGCTCTTTAGCTCAAGGTGAGCACTCTACCACTTCAGCCACAGTACCACTTCCAGTTTTCTGAGTGGTTTACTGGAGATTAGAGTCTCACAGAGTTTCTTGTCCAGGGTGGCTTTAAAGCATGATCCTCAGATCTCAGCTTTCTGAGTAGCTAGGATTATAGGCCTGAGCCCGGCTTTCAGACTTTTTAATTTTGAAAGGACATATTTATTTTGACATTGTCAATACTCAGAGTCTCGTTGAAGTGGCTATATATACACTATGTGCATATATATATATATATATATATATATATATATATATGTATGTATACTTTTTTCTTCCCTTTTTCCAGCAAGGCTGACTTTGTTCCTATTATTTCTCAATTCTGGCTGTAATCTCCCCCTGGGGCCTGCCAGCTCATTCTCTAAAGGGAAGGACAAGTGCATACGAATTATCCTCCAGCTACTAAAAAAAAAATGTACAGGACCAGATGCCACTTGGGGAATCACAGAGAGCTGGCCAGGCCCTAGCTCGCCAACATGACAAACAGGAGAGCGGCTCTGCTCTTCTACTCAGCAGACGCTTGAAGGCTGTGGGCGCGGCCTCCTCAGGCCGCACGTGTAAGCAGACCCTCCCCTGTGAGGACACACCATACAGGCTCCACTGCTGCCGAAGGCAAAGCTGCTTTTTCTTCTTTCCCCCCTCCCCATTTTCCAAAGACTCTGCTTAGAGACAATCAAACCCCAGGTGCCTGTCTACCTGTAACTTATCCTTTAAAAGTCCCATGAGAATTTTCTGCAAAAGGAATCTATTTTAGGTAAGGTTACATTGGATTTTGCATTCTATAGTGTACCGAATTTTTCCAGATGTTTTTTGCACCTCCCTCCTCATCTCTTAGGTTATTATTTGGTACTCAATGGATAAGTGGCTTCTTTTTCTCCTCCTTCTCCTTCTCCTGTTCCTCTTCCCTTTCCTCCCACTCCTCGTTATTGCTATTATTATTTTCTTTCCGTGTGCTGGGCAAGGGTACACTCTCACTTGTCCCACAGCCCCAAGAGCAACTTAACATTATTTTTAATCGATCAGCCAACGGTGGCCATGTAATTACTTCGAATATTTTAACTCTGTGTCAGATGTCTTTGCTCATGACATTTTACATATTAAAATACATTGTTAGCGAAATGAGTCCCTTCCCAGAGCTTAGTCCACTCCTTCCCTTCGCCACAGCTTAGCATGCTCCCTTTCCTAGCAACACCAGGCCCATGTAGTAATGGCAGTAAATAATCAGCTTCCATCCCCTTTTACCTTGGGATGGCACTTCTCTGGGGCAGCTACCAGCATACAAGGCAACAAGAGCCCCTTAGAGTGACCTTCAGGTCTGGGCAGCTACAGGACCCTTATCTACCATTTGGACAACAGCCATAAATCCTAGTCCAACATGATGAAGCCTCTGGCTTGTATAGGCTATATAGGTCACCCCAGACAATAGCCGGTGCTTCTTCTCATTCCTCCCTTGTGAGAAGGAGTCTTGCCGGCCCCCTTTCCCCGCGCAATAAACCTTTCTTTGTTCTCTGTACCTGGATGTCTGTGTGGTTCTCTGGCAAAGTCTAATTAATCTTAATTTCCTATCATATATCCTATGACAAATCAAGGTGGATGTGTGTGCCCTGCAGATGGCTTTGTATTGTTCAAAGCCCTTCTGAAACACTATTAACTAGAATTCAGAAAATACCTGAAGACATATGTAATGCATAAATGACTGTAAGACAAGTAACAACACCTCACCGGGCCTTCCTATGCTTTTACCCCACTGCCTCTCTGAAAGAAACTTTCATTTTGTGACAATTATATACTTGTTGCCACAAAAATGCATTTGAGGAATTATAAGCTAAAGGGAAGACAAGTGAACATGAGGTCCAAGCACATGTAGAATTACCTAGAATAAAATACGAGCTTCTCTTAAGCCAGTTTCTTGCCTTTCATCTTTGCTCCTGCCGGCTGCATGAAGCAACGCAACTGTTCATATCGCTACTCACCACAGCGCAAGTCGCTGTTCGATTTCCTTGAGGAAATTGGTATGAAATTTGTGCAAAGGCTCGAAGTTTGGGAAGATGAGACTTTTCAGTGTGTCGGGCATGGCGTCATCTTTGCTTGCGGTACTCTGGAACCACTGGGAGTGAACAGAAGACAACTCCGTGAAGATAACTGACGGACCTGGCATCTCTGCCCAAGATTCTCAGCATTTCAGGGTGCCAGGCCTCGCTGCCCTCCACTCCTCATCCAATGGGAAAAGCACCCTTCTCTGTCAGATGGTTTTCTGAAAGTTGTTACCCATGGATTGTTCATTTGAGACAAGACGAATCTCTTACATAGGCAACTCCATGGACCCAAACCTTCGTCTTGGCCATGTCACTAGAGAGCTCCTGCTCCTTCGTTGGTGATTGTGAACAGCCTTTATAATGACTGCCATTTCTAAATGCTGAGCACAAAGGGGGCATCACAGGGGCACCGTACTGCCTGTGCTGAGCCCCTCAGGTCACCGTGTGGCCCTAAAATAGATCCTTTTGCACCTTCTAAGGGCTAACACAGGGCTCTATCCAGGAGGGACTGAGGCAATGAGTCTGGTGGTCTGCCTTACCAGCTGGCTCTTTCCCACAGTCCTGGGGCCAAAGTCCCCTACAGGGCCCTGCCCTGCCCTGACTGGTGCTAGCGGAGGACACTGCTGACTATATAATCAAGGCAGTCTGCTCCATGCTCTGCTGACACGGCTCACCGTAACGCTCACAGATAAAACGAGTTTCCTGCTCGTTCTGAGGTCTCCCTCGAGCAAAAATAAGCAGTTACACCTGACAAGAGCAAAATAGAATGTTCTGGATCAGTGCATGCAGGCAGTAAAATGCTTAATTTCAATGTGCTCTGCCTTAGGCGCCTCTTTCTCTCACACTTAAAGCCATAATTATAAAAATTTTTAGAGCATATTTCGAATGAAATGTACTACAGGCATTTAATTTCTATAACCCCAGACCAGAATCCTTTCGATTGAAGTCAGAGAAGCTAATATTTAATTAGCTCTGGCTTCTCTGTGCAAGCTGGGTATGAGTTCAGATGGATTATGTAATTTCATGTGTTAGGAGAAAGAAGACTCATACCAAAGTGAGGACTTCCAGATCCTTCAGATACGTGCGCTCAGTGGTGGAAACTTCTTTAGCAATGAAGTACGCCTTGTCGGTTGGAAATCGCTGAAAAAAATCAAGACACGACAACCATTTTTGGGTAGAAGTCTCTGAGAATGTCCTGATTATAAAAGAAGTCTGGTGACTCCTGTCTGTCCTCCTAGCTACTCAGGAGGCTGAGGTTTGAGGATTGAGATTCCAAAGCCAGCCCAGACAGGAAAGCTGCCCAGACTCTTATCTCCAATTAGTCAGTAAACAGCCAGCAGTGGAGCTAAGGCTCAAGTAGCAGACCAGCCTTGTGTAAAAAACACGTAAGGGACAGAGCCTGGACCCTGAGTTCAAGCCCCAGTACTGGCAAAAAGAAGTCTTGAGTTAAGTGATATGTGACTAAGTTAGGAAGGATCTTTTGTTAGCTGGTATCAAGATTAAATAAACTCTCATTTATTGTCCTATCTAGGCTAGAGGATCTAGGATGAAAGAATGGGTTTCCTCATTGTGGACAAGGGCTGGGAGAGCTCTCCTCCTAACCACCACCATCTCCTGAGGGCCTTGAATCCTCAAGGCACCCCACAAAAAGACCAAGTCAGCCTCTCTGAGCCACGGGCTAGAGATGTTGGTGTTGGTGAAGTTTCATGAAATGGAAGTTGCAGTGTTCCTGGGACACCCAAGGTGGGTGGGTTGAAATCAGCTGACCATACCACCATGACCCAATTCCCTGAACCCTAGCTGTCAGAGAGCAGGCCAGCCACCCAGGATGCTTTTCCCACTGGCTGCCATCTTGCTTACTTCCTTTAAGAATCCACCCCATTCTAGCTCTTGATATATACACGGACCTGGAAGGAGAGCCCGAACAAACATGTACCTGGAGGTCCATGGCAGCATTAGCCACAAGAGTAAGACGTGGGAACGTCCTAGCTGCCCCCTGCCGATGAATGGATAAGAGAATATAGCCCACCCATGCAATGGAATATTACGCAGCCTCGCAAAGGAGGGCATTCTGGCCCAGACTAAGATGGCTATGAACTCTGAGAGCTTTATGCTAATGTAATAAGCCAGTGTCAAAAATGCTTTCTGACTCTATTTATACGAGGTCCCTAGAATAACTAAACTTCATAAAGATAGAAGGTAGAGGAGGCTGTGAGGGGCTGGGGGAATGAGTGTCTGTTGGGGAGGATGGAAGTTTTGTAATAATAAGAAGGGCACTTCCAAGTAGTACACTTTTTTTTTTGGTCTTGTGTACATACACACACACACACACACACGCACACACACACACAGAGCCCAAGACCCTGCCAGCACCTTTCTCCGGCCCTCTTCTTCATCATCAGTTCTGGGGCAGGCCTGGTCGTTCAGTAGAGGGCTGATCAAGGGAGAGGCCTGCTTGGTGTCAGGACTCAGGTTTGGAGACAAGCTGGCGTTGGCGGGGACAGCTCCTCCCTGAGAGTTGACGGACAGCTCTGAAAGGTGGGGGCTACCTGTCACGGAGCCTGTTTGGGGATGAGAAGTTTCAAAGAAAATAGTAATTCCTTTGGGGACTTCATTTCTATTTACAACTTTCACCTCTGCAAATCTTGACAGCCTTAACCACCGCGTGGCAAAGTTCATGCATTCAGTATTTTCTAGCTTTTTTCCCCCCCAAGTTGCAGTTGCTTTAGTTAAGTACAAGGAAGGACCAAATGATGCATCATTCAATGGAGCAGCCTCAGTTACAGAATTACGGGGAAGATGAAGAAGCCTGAACAAATGATGAGGATAGCTTCAAAGCATTGCATCACCTGTGCTCCTATTTTTCTCTCCTAACTACTGCTTTTGCGCCTAAGACACAGTATCTACATCACAATGAGACAAGGAAAAATGATTAGGGTAAATAGAACTAAACTAACAGGAATCTAAGCGACATACTACACCTTATCACAATGGGTCACAGCTAACATACAGGTCAAGCAACTAGCTCCCCACTCTACAAAGAACAGAAGCAAGCTTATTGTACCTGGCGATGTCCATGTCTGCCACTGTGTGGGACAGAAACACTAGCATCACATTACATGCAACGGTGGTCATTTAAAAATGCAAGCTGGAGATCACCAGAATATCAGTTTCCCTTTGAGTCAAAAATGACAGGTAGTAAATTAGTTCTCCAAAATGGATACCGTATTTGATAGGATAAAAATATACATATTACCCATAAAAAGGCAGCCACAGGAGAAGACACATACAGGGCACGCTTTGCCAATATAAAATTGCAAATATCCATACCCCCAGCCCATTAAGGTGCCAAACGGTACCTTCTAATGACAAAGACAAAATATACCTACTCCCTTGTTTGTCTTGACCTAATACATTTATAGTTCTAGTGCAGATTTGTTAGGGCTGATAGCAGGTACACAGTTACCATAGCAACGACAGACAACGTCAGTACTTCTTTCATTTTCAGGCTCATGGCTACTCGGCGCGCTGTTAAGGATCTCCAAGGAAAAGGTGAAATGCAATTTCCTGAGGCATTCCCATCTCCCTGACCCTCTATCCTCTCCCACCGTTGCTACTCAGATGCGTTTTGAAAATGGCAAGACTCAGCAGCCTAGGAAGGGGCTGATAAAGCAAGGGGAGTAGCTTTGATCCCAGTAGGATCTGACTGAGGGGAAACCACCACCAGCCTCACCCTGCTCCCAGGTCGACCAGTTATCTGCGTCACCAAGGCAGGGGTGAAAAGCCACTGCACCCAGAAAACCACAAAGTGGATGTCCTGCCCACTGATAATTGGTCAGTCCTGTGCTCCTTGAATGAGAAGAGTAGAAATTGTGAGGGGGGGGGAAGCAAGCATCAAAAAAGTTTGTGTTTGTTAAAATACCTCATATTTCACTGAAATGAAGTCCTGGTGTTAGATAAAGACCCAATCACCCCCACACAACCACCAGACCCAGTTAACCCCGGAGAAAAAGGCCAGAAATTGCTTCACAAATGTCAATTTTATTGACACTAGTGCACAATTGAATACAATAATTGTGAAAGAATCGGAAATTGTCAAATAGAAATAGTGACAATATATTATTAGGACTATAATTATTTCAAGGTACTAGACTATTCTTTTTTTTTTAAAAAAAAGAATCACAAGGAGAAAAAAATCACTACAAATGAGAATTAGAAAAGAGAAATTCTGGCAGTTTGTCTACAGATTAAAACATTTCATGCATTTGTGAGCTGCTGTTTAAGGGTCACTATTTGTCCACCAATAATCTAGCAAAACGTGGGGCTTACCGTTGGCTCTCAGGCAGTGTGCAAGACAGGGTGAGGCAGTTATAAGTGAGAACGTGCTGGGCCTTCAGTCTGCAGTGTCATGGACCATTTGAGAGAGTTGGAGCCAAGAACAAAAGGTTGTTAGAGGAGGCTAGCTTGAAGGGGTAGTGTGGAAGGAAAGATTCACATTCAGGTCCTGGACAGCATCCAGCAATAGATAGGAAAGGAAGCGCCACATGGCAAGGGGAAAATCAGATGCACACATTCCAATACAGCCACATCCACCCACTCTAGTCCAACCTTAAGGCCCCTGCTGAATTCTACCCAGGAATGTTTGTACTTAATAGGCTAAGTAGGCTGGAAGGTTAAGGCCACACACTGGGTTTGAGGAGAGGTGCCATCTTGCTAGGAGGCATGAGATATTTTAAAGAAGAGAGTCAGATTTGGAAGGACCCGCCACCCCACACTGAACTACAACAGATAGGAAAATGGAAGGTTCATGTGAGCATCAGCATCACCTATGGACAGGTAAAGCAGGGCACGTCCCCGGATCAGCCCACAGGGTGCTTTGTGAAAATGTGCTCCAGTTCACTTGCAGCAATGTAGCCTAAGATGTGTGCACCTACCAACTTTATCAGAGTAATATGCACCTGGAGGCGTGGCCAAAGGAAGAATGATCAGTTTCCTTTTCCTGAGAAAGGTCTGCATTTTATCATAGGGCTTAATGAAAGAGTTGGGTGTACTTACTCAGTAAGACCAATAAATCAATTACCACCAGTCTGACTTCGAAATCTATTGAGCAAGTCTAAGGAAGATAAAGATCCAAATTTCTAAAGTTCAATTTCACAACCGCCAGCCCCCCCCCCTTCCCTTCTTGCAGGAGAAGGTACGGGAGGCTTTGAAGTTTTATAGGTGACACAGGAAAACAAAAACAAAAAACCCTCTCATTCATTTACCAATTTTTCCATGCAGCAACCAATGAAGTTTGCTGGAAGTCAGTGTTGGCAAATGTCTATATAAACCGATGTCTGCAGAGGCAGGAGTGTAGAGAGCATATAAAGGAAGCAAATGTTGGAAGTTGTAATGATTAGAACTACATGTACTTGATGGTCACTGAAGTATCGTTTTATAAAATGATGATAATTATAATAATAATAAGCAAGCATGGCCCTGCTAATTAGATAAAGTGAGCCATTGAGACTTCTGCAGGGTATAAAGCCCGTCACATTTTGTAGCCTGTCACATGCTTTGAAGGCACAGCCCCAGGCCACAGGAGCAAGGAGACGAACTTCTGACTGCCACTGACTGCTTGTTACTCAATGAAATGATTAAAGTCTTGGCTTTTTTTCTTTTTAAATCACGTTTCCTTCGCAACAAATTGGCACAATGTAATTTCTTTCATTGAGGAGCTCTGGGCAAATCACATTGGGGGGGGGTCCCTGGAGGAAGCCCTTAGGAATTAAGGCAATAGTTCTAAAGAAGTATAGGGAAAGAGCCATGGTCTTTAACCTCTGGAAGTTTCTAGGGGGTGAAAGAATATTATTCTAGAAATTGCTCTGCCTTTTTTTTCTTCTTCTTCTTCCAGCCATTCAGTTACACTTCAGACCCCTCCCACCCCCAACCATTAAGTTGCATGAAGAGGTTTGGGTTTTTATCCCAACCCCCAACCCCGCCTTCCCCTCCCCTCCCCTCAGGCCTCTCAAGGGAGGTATTTCTGGTAATTGCCTTTTAAAATCTTTTTAAATGTATACTTTCTCCTCACACAAACAATTACGGAACTTCAAATTAGCATGGCTATATTTATGGATTTCCATTTATCACTGGGGACAGAAACTGCCCTAGTGGCTCTAGGTTTTTTTTGTTTTGTTTCGTTTTTCATTTAGAATACATTCTTCATTCTCTCCTGGCCCCATGGGAGGCTGCATTCCAGCTTCCTGAGGAGCAGCTCTGCAGCAGAGGTTCGGGGACACCCTGGGGTGGGTCACCAGCAAGACAACTTCATGACTTTTGTCCCCTGGAAGGACTGGACATGAGCTTTATTCTAACCTCCCATCTCTTCAGCTTATGTTTCACCCATTCCAGGAAAATTGAGGTGGGGGGCGGGGGAGAAGCAATCTATTTTCAAGTAATTAACAAAAGGCATTTCAAATACTTAGTCGTATTTGCCCCGTCTTGTAAACTGGTCACTAAATTGGCAATCTCTATTTTTTTGTTATTTGTTTACAAGATACCTATTATTTTTCTCCCTGAAAAATAGGAATCTAGAAAACCTGACTGTAATTTTCAAAATTGTAATCTACAGTCAGCTGATGAAATGCTTAAACATGTGAGAATGAGAACATTATTTGCTCGATTTCTCTTTTCAACCGTCTTGTAACATATCTTGGAATAAAATGATTTCTTTTTGCAAGCTTCTTTTGCAAGATGCCACCCATCTACCATGATTTGTCTCCTGTTACTGGCTCTAAAACACAGGAGATTTTTTTACTTACCCAGAATATGTGCAAAGGCACCTATAGGAATTACACTAGAACTGTAGAGGTGCGTCTATTTTTAAAAGGCCATGTTAACATCCATACTCCCTCCCTCTCTGAAAGAGAAGACAATGAAATCCCGTGAGATTTTGAGTGCTGGTTTTCATGGTGAGTTAGAGGTGGGCAATAGAGTAAGGCAGGACTCACAGCACTTCAGACCTGGGTTGAGTTCCTGCTAGGTGACACCTACAGTAACAGCCGGCACTGTGTCACTGCAACGACAAGGTTCCACACGAACCGCCAGGTCCCGGATGACCAACACTAGTGTCCGTGTCTTCTTCTCGATACCTCAGGCTGCTGAATGTGTGTGTACGTCTCAGAGCCACTTCCTTTACAAACACTTTTACAAGCAGCTAAGCATCATCCACTTCACATTTCACCATCAAGCAATTCAGAAAAGCAACAGCGATGTAACTTGCAGGTAAAGAAGAGAGAAATGTCACTAACGGACAAATGGTAGTGAACACACAAGCTTGTTCTTGCTTGGGGGAAAGGATAGGGCAGGCTGATTTGTTTGAAGATGGTGATGTGGGGGGTGGGGGTGGCATGGTGTTCGGAGCGGGGTACACGGTGCTTCATACCCATGAACAATATCATCTTGAACTCAGGACAGGCTTCAGCCATTGGTGGGGAAAGAACAATTACAATTGACAGTTTTTACAGCAAGATACCTGTTAGAACAAGTAAAAGCCTCTTCAGTTGAGGTTAACAGGAGAGGT